TGAGGAAATATCACGGTATGGCGTCCACCTGGACACAAGTGTGGAAGAGTGCCCATTTTATCTGCAGGCACGCTAGCCAGTCCATCGTTCCAGCAAAATCATACCCACCAAGTCAAGTCCAGTATGGCGCGTCAAGACCTGTGTAAATCCCATTTATTCAGTGGGTCGACTCGAGCAAGCGGAGGAAAGTTTCGCTCACATGTTTGGAAGGTGTTCTGAAAGTCTACCAAAGCTGGATTTCTAATTAAACCTTGCAATGGGGCTGGACCGAGCTTCCAGAATTTTAATAATAACTGTCCGCCATCTAGTCGCTTCCGACTGACGATGACCCTTTCCAGAGCGATGGGGAAGAGAAAAGACAGAAGTGGTTTCCCATTCCCTTCCTCTAGGGGGAGCTGTGGGACTGCGCAGCTTGCCCAAGGCTACACAGGCTGGTTTTTCCCTTGGGAGGCACAGGGAGGAATCGAATTCCAGACCTAAACCACCAAGCTATCCAGCCAACTCCAGACTCTCAGATTTCCATAAATATCTACCAAAAGCACATCACAAGCCCCACCGCCCGCTTCTTTTAAAGAAAAACACCCGGCCGTCCTACTCAAAGCATCCTTCCTAATTTTAAACCTGCACGAAAGACCCCACTCTTTCCAGGCAATCGGTTGTTAATTTTATCCAGACTCGTTATTTAAGAGGATGATCCAGTTAAGGTGTTTTGATTTGTGTGTTTTTTTTTTAAATCTAACAGCACATATTACATAAAATAGAAGGAAAATGTCAAAGCCAAAAAATAATAATAATGGCTGGTTTCTCAAGGCAGATGGAACTTTTTCCCGCAGACACGTATACGCATGCAGACTACGAAGCTGAAAACCCATATGGTGGGGCAAAAATCTGCATTAAGCCAGTCAAAGCCAGGCACTCCAAAAAAAAACCAACTGTGCAAGCTTCAAGAGAGCACAGATCTCTGCGCAACCGGCAGGCAGAGCCACGTCTGGTTGACGTAGTGTTTTCAAAACTCATCGAGGACACTTGTACTTGAAAGGCTGAGTGCAAACGGTGCATCTTCTCAAGAGAAGTATTTCCCCACGAACCCTGGGCGCAAGGGAACCAAAAGGAAATGATGATTGTTGATCAAAACAGAAAGGGGTCCGTCCCCCTCAAAGCTCCCTGCTCGGATCAGCCTCCTACCTTCTCTTGGCCTCTCCCCCCCCCCAACAGCCGGCATTTAGGAAGCAGAGAAACCCATTATGCTTGAAACAACTTGATGAAACCGGGGGAAGGCAAACACAATGGGGTCCTCTCACCCAACTTGGCCACCGAGACTTTCATTACTTTAAAGAGAGAGAGGCGAGGAAGCTGTCAACATAGATCAGGGAATGCTTCGCCTCAGTAATTCTTTACCTCCCAAAGAAAGGAAGGGGGGAAAGGGGTGAAGGAGGGAGGGAGGGGGAGACCCGGCTCGCTCGGCTCCGAGAGAGAAGAGACACCGCCTGGATGATGGAGACAGCTGCCTGGTCTCCAGCGCAAACACACACACAGAGTCTTTATCGGTTCAGCCCTCTGCCAAGCTAAAACAAAGCACAGTATGAGACAGAAGGCCTGCTTTCGTGGAAGGCGAAGAGCTAAGAACAGGAACTCAAGCAGAGAAGCAACGGAGAGCGGACTGAACAGTTCTAGAGCACCGGTTCACAATCTTAGGCCCCCGGGTGGACTCAAACCCCCAGAAGTCTTCACCGCCTGTTGTGCTGGCCGGGGTTTCTGGGAGTTGCAGTCCAAGAACATCTGGGGGACCCAAGGTTGGGAAGCAATGATCTAGAGCAGTGGTTCACAAACTGGATTCCCCCAGATGTTCTTGGATTACAACTCCCAGAAGCCTTCAGCACCACCTCTGCAGGCCAGGATTCCTGGGAGTTGAAGTCCAAGAACATCTGGAGGCCCAAGGTTGGGGGCCATTGATCAAGAGCAATGGTTCTCAAACTGGGTCCCCCCAAATGTTCTGGGACTGCAGCTCCCAGAAATCCTATCCAGCACAGCAAGTGGCGAATACAACTGGGAATTGCAGTCCGAGAACATCTGGGGAGTCCAGTTTGAGAACCACTGCTCTTGGAGCGTCTCTTGGGAAGAGTTGTCGCCCTGCTGTAGGGCACCTGATGTGTATAAAAAGGTTTCTATAGTTCATGCCGCGACATCTCCTGGTAGGGTTGGCTAAGATTTCTTTGTAGAGTCTTGCAGGGCCCGTGGATACCAGGAGTTGTCCATATGTGGCCATCCAGATGACGCTGGCCAACAATTGATTTTTTGTGGAACCAAAAAAAAAAAAGGATTAAGTTGTCCACCAAGATCTTACACAAAAAAAGATTTTTGCACTTGATCAGTAGGAGGTAAAACATTGGTTTTATTTGCTGGTCGGATTACTCCAGTATGGAGCTTTGAAGGAAATGTGTCTCTGGAAGGAAAATGTAAATGTAACAATAGGTACAACTGGGAATTGCAGTCCGAGAACATCTGGGGAGTCCAGTTTGAGAACCACTGCTCTTGGAGCGTCTCTTGGGAAGAGTTGTCGCCCTGCTATAGGGCACCTGATGTGTATAAAAAGGTTTCTATAGTTCATGCCGTGACATCTCCTGGTAGGGTTGGCTAAGATTTCTTTGTAGAGTCTTGCAGGGGCTACGAATACCAGGAGTTGTCCATACATGGCCATCCAGATGACGCTGGCCAACAATTGATTTTTTGTGGAACAAAAAAAAGTATTAAGTTGCCTGCCAAAATCTTCACAAAAAAGTTTTTGCAGTTGATCGGTGGGAGGTAAAACATTGGTTTTACAGTATTTGCTGGTCGGATTACTCCAGCATGGAGCTTTGAAGGAAATGTGTCTCCGGAAGGAAAATGTAAATGTAACAACAGGAAAAAGGCCACTTCTCTTAATATGCTCTTCGACTTTTAGTCTAGAGGAATATCAGTCTTGAAATCCATCATTTTCCAATGTACTGTGTCTTCACCCACGATAGGAAAACCTTTGTTTTAAAAATTTAGGGGTTTTTTTGATTAAGAACTCTGTGAAACTCAAAAGGTTGCATATGCTCATTCCATCCCAAGTTGGAGCGATGTTGTTTTAATCTCCAATGTTTGAGGACCAACACAGTGAGGGGTGGGATAGATGACCCCCAGTGCCCCTTCCACCTCCCCAGCTCTACGAGCCAGTATCTTATTACTGTAGTTGGTGCCAACTACAATTGAATCACTGATTGAACAGAATCTATATAATATCGACAGGTTTTTATATATGCAGCAGAACGCCATAACATATATAAATACAGTACCTATATTTGATCCCAATATGACCCTTTTTGAAAAAAAATCACTGTTTCTCAAATATCAACTGGAATGTCTTTGAGAAGCTGTGTTTAAACATTCATGTTGTGGGTGGGTGGGTGTCAATGTGAGAACACACACACACACACAAATACCCAAAATGTATATTGTTCACAAGTCTGTTACATCTTTACAAGACTGCCCGCCTTTCCCCATCTCCAACTCCCAACACACCCCTGTCCAGACAGGATGATGGGTTTTGTAGTCTAAGCCATCCGAAGGCTGCCGGGCTGGAAAAGAGGATCCTAAGTATTGCAGGACGTAAGACGCATTGAACTCAGTGGGCCTTACTTCTGAGTAGAGACGTGTTTAGGGTGGGGCTCTGAATCTCAGCAGAAGAGATAACCCAGTGTCCACATAGAGGGCTAGGGTTTGTTTTTTCCCTAGCCTCAGTTGTCATCATCTTCAAAATGGGTCTAGGCTTTGCCAGAGTCCCTGAAATCAGTGAGGCTCAGAACCTCACCGAACACTCATCTCAGCCATGTGCCAGGGCAGACCGGCCGAACCCATTTCTGGGCTCACTCTTCTCCACCGTAGGCGTCCATCAGAAGGCTTCACCTGTTGGAATCCTGCCTGTCTCGGCCTTTTTAAAAAGCCCAGGGAAGGGAGCCGCCTTCACTTCGAGAGAGCTTTGATGAAGCTCGGACGTCAATTTCCCTGCGGAGGTGGGCGGGAAGGATGAGACAGACATAGCAACCGAAGTGCTTGGCGAGAAATGCCAGGCGCTCTGCCAGGCTGGTCAGAGAAGGCTCATTTCCTCAGTTGCCCCGGTCGTGATATGGGTATAATACGAAGGACTTAACTCCCAAGTCGTGAAAACCTGCATGCTCTGCTCATCGATCCCTCCTTTCTCAACCTTGTGGCCATAAGGGGTGATTCCCTGACATGGGTCACAGTGGGTAGAGAGGATGATGGGGACTGTAGTCCGTCCCATCTCAAAAGCACCACCTCAGGGGAGGTTCCTCTGAAGCCTTAGAAACCCACAATGTTCATCCAGAAGGAACCTTTTTTAGAAGACCAGCCGATGCACCCTTGGAGTAAAATTCCCTGGGCAGGCCCTACCTGCTTTACCTTTTTCCCCCTAGGCTGTTGCACAGAAGAGGCTGTCAGACCTGGGTCATGGACAGGAGGAGAGGGTGCCTTTAGCATGTACAGAGCGCAGCCCTTTCCCTACAGCTCACGACAACCACCACAGCTCACAACACGGGGCACCCCGTTCACCGCAGCTCACCAGGAGCCGGATTCCTGGTTAGGTGGGCAAGAGAGGAGTGGAATGTGCACCCCCATCATCATCATCATCCTTATCATCGCCATTTATTAACCATCCCCTTCATCAGGATTATCAAACGGCACGCCTCATCTCCTTCCACGTTTTTCTCTCTGGAAGATTCCCAATTCAAACTTAAAAAGGAACCGTCCCTGTTTTGCAAAGCAGCTGAAAAAACAAGATTATTTTTAAACAATACTTCTCTCCCTTATAATAGATATTATATATACATATATAGACAGCCACCCACTAAGAACACCTGCCTTTCCCACCTAACTTTGCTTGCCGATGCAGGAAAAGGGAGAGAGAACTGTTTTTAAACACCAGCTTGCCAGCCAAAGGCGTCAAAACTTTGGGACCTCACCTGTGCTGAGAAGCCCGAACAGGAGCAGGAAAAAACCTTTCCAGATGTGCGTTCCGTGCCAGGATGGAGTCATGGTGCAGATGTGCCGATGCAGGGGGCCACCAGATGTGGCCCAGAGAGGCATCTCTTGAGAAGGCAAGGATTTAAAAAAAAAACACTCCTCCTGCACCTGTTAAGGTAGCGAAATATGAAATGAAATCAAATGCAATAAAAATAAAAAGCAACGAAGCTCAGCTTTGCCAGTCACTCACTCTGTCTCTCTAGTTGGGTGTCTCTTTTTGAAGTCCTTAAATCAGAATTTCAGTTTGCCAAAATAAAAATAAAAACGGTCCATATTCCGGGAGTGCTCTCGCTTTTCCCCTCCATCCTTGCCGAAGTGACTGCGCTTGGTTTATTTATTTACTTCTTTTTTGAAAAAGCAAACAAACGGGTCTCCGCTCAGCTGCTTTCTCCCGGCCCGAGGAGGAGGGCCAGCCAAAAAAAAAAACCAGCGTGCGCCCGGGGCGAGCGCGGCTCGGGGATGGAGCGAGGCTGGCGGAAGAGCGAGGCGCCCGCGCAGCCGCTGGGAAGGGGAGGACGCAGCCTCTCTCTCCGGAGAGAGCACATTTTAATTTTCCGAAAGGAAAAAGGGAGAAAACCAAGAGGGAGAGGCGGGTCGAAGCCTTGCCTCGGCTGACCCGCTCCCCCCATCCAAAAAAAAAAAAAAAACCCCACAAAAAAAAAAAAAACAAGGCAAAC